GAACTCAGCCTCTGCATATATCTACACATTAATCGGGTGTTTTTTCTTTATCTCTCTTGTCGATCATCTCGCAGGTTGACCTCCGTCATCCACTACCTTATATTCATCGACATTGTCCTYTGCATCCTCATTGTCATCGCGCCCRTCTACATGTACGTCTACCCCTTCATCGCTTAACGATATACAATTAATCACCGTCTWGGACGTGGTTGATCCCTCAAGCTTCCTCTTCCCATCCTTCTYCGCCTCATCCAGCAGTTTCATCATCTCATCGGAATCTATTTGCACCTYACTCGCACGTTCTGCATAYCCACCTTGTTGCATTGCATCTGAAACCGCCATGTCCGTGGAAGGAGTGRGGCTCTCCATCTGTGATGCACTCTGGTTTTCCACCTGAGTTATTAGAGGAGGTCCGTACGATGCGACGTTCGAAGGATCTTTGTCGACATTCCATGTTTCCTTGTTCACCCCCATTATCTTAACATTGGTTTGACTCATCGCTTCCCCAACACTGGCAGCCAAGTGCGTCGTCGACTGCCCCCCAAGCTGTGAGCATTCGAACTGGATTGTCTCAATGTTGTGGCACGCAGGATGAAGTTCCATCTTCCAATCGATGGTCTTGTATGACCGGCTTGAYGGTAAGTCATAGAACTTGTGTTTATATTCCAGCTGATTGTTGGAGTGCAGAGAATCGAATAGCCATTGAGCCTTGTCCTCAATAGCTGCCTCGTCCGCTCCGTCGTTTTCGCGACTGACATGGAAGACGATTTCGCTCTTCGTCACTTTCAGCCACAGTACTTCTGCCAGTCTCGGTTTGACTTTCCATCCTGATGTTAGATGCAGTGCCATCAGCCACTCCCCTTTAAAAATGCATGGCTCGAATACGTCTGTATGCCACAAAATGTGATGCCCCCACTTCTCAGACGTCGTTTCTAGCACCTTGTCTTCAATGAAGTACGGTCGTTCGCTGGCCTGCATAATGCGATTGGGAATGAACCTCGGAAGGGCATCTGGAACCGCCAAGTCATCCTCATCGGCGTCTGCCAGCATGTTGTGTTCCGTGTTTCCTTGAAGAGTGTGAGGCCTCCCCTGGAACCCGTGACGATTGCCATKAATCAATGCATTCTCAAGTGCTCTGAGGGGTGTAGGCGAATCCGTTTGCATTTGTTCAATGGAACTCACCTTGTGGGTCACGTCACACGTCGAACTGCTCGCACCTCCCGATTTTGTGCGATCTTCTTAGGGATTCTCGTTCGGCACGCTGCATGCAGGCACACTTTGCATTTGCCTCTCGCAAACGTTTTACTCGCTCTTCGATTTCGAGGTCCGATGTTTCGGTCTCCTCGTCGCTCTCTATCGGATTCCATGCATCAGTTGTTTTGGCAATGTTGTTGTACTCTTCATACGTCTGCATTGCCTGATTTGCTGTGAACTTCATATGTTCAGATCTCGCCATGAACATCGCAAACGCACCCACCTGTGCTTTATGGTAGCCGCCATACGCTTCCGGTGCCATCGCTTTGCGAACTATGTAGTCATGCTCGAATGACGACTTGGGTTGGCCTTGGAATAGATATTCCCACATTTTGTTTCTCTTCTTGCCCAGCTTGTGGTACATGTCCCTGTCCGGACGGTGCGCAGTCTTCTGTCTCTGAAACGTTTAATCGTTTCTCATGTCCTTCCCAAGAATTTCGATGGCCTTAGTCAAGTACGAAAAGTCTTTGGACGATGAGTCGCATGCGAAAACATGATAACCAGCGCGCAGAAGCTCCCACTCAAGTCCAGCATGCGACTTCCCGATAAGAATCACTCGCTGATCCTCGTGCAGAAACGAACTACACAACTTCTGCAACCGTTTGGGATGTCGTTCCCACCGCCCATACACCTCTCGTTCRTTTTCTTCCTCGCCGCCGTGCCTCTCTGTGCACCTTTTGAAGTGCTCTTCCTCAATGTTTAGCTCCACTATCTCCGCCTCCGATTTAGGGGCCCTCGTGATCTTCTTGAGGTCACCGCCCCCGACATGCAGGACGATCGCCATCGTGTCCTTATAATCGACTTGTCAGTTTTCATACTTGCTGACAGTCGTCCCGACCATGAGATAACGGTTCCAAGTCCCGGGTATCACCTCTACATCGTCCCAGTTGTAAAGCTGCTTCATGACGATCTTATGTTGTTTTTGCAGGGCAAAAACAATCAAAATCCAATTATTACCGCACAATTTCGTCATYGTTTTGTGCAAAGCATCGAAATCAGTCGGCGACCATGCAMGGCACTCCTTCGAGTTGGCGAGATCGAGGATAGCCTCCTTGCAATTCAAGTTCGTGGCCGCAGTCACAATTTCGTCGGCCGCGGGCAGCAACTCCTTGGGGTGCATGTTGACCGGTAGCAATGTCGACCGTCGTTGTTTCTTTTCCCAACTCAGATTAAGCRCAGCGTTCTTCAACCGTCGCAACTCAGCTGTCAGCAACTCCACTCTTCCAATTGCATGGTATACAAAGTACTTGAAGTGGAAAGRCGCGTCCCTATACAATGTCTCCGTGGCCTTCAGGCCAGCTCCTTTCAGACCTTTTTCCTCTTGCTCTYCRCCGAGTCTTTTTGGAACCCTCCGGTTGTATTCCAAAGGGATCCTATCCCTTTCCTCATCCCATTCGGCTGCCCTCACACCAAACCTTTGCTCCACTTTTTCATAGTCGAAGAAGTTTYCGTCCTTCCATTCCCTCGCCTCTCTGYTCTCCGATTTSAAGACGATGTAGTTGAACAGACRCATCATGTATCTCTCGCGCATTATGATGTCGAGGAGGTTGGTCGTGTTCAACTTCCCAGGAGAAACCAGTCTAGTAGCGGCGATGACTTTTTTATTTATCATCAACCGCAATGCAATTTCCTTCTCTCGTGCCGTCATATCTCCAAAACATTTGAAGTTTGACGGAATGAGATCTTTGAAGGACACCGTAGCGTMTGGTCCCCCGTCCCTAGCCGGTATGCAATGGAACACCTCCTTCTTCCCCTGCACCTCTTCAGYGAATTGGCCCGGCACCCGGCCTTCCTGCTTCCCGAGCATTTGTTGCCGTATAGCGGCAACTCCCCCGCCTCGAACTTCAGAAAAAACTTCTTTACCAATGGCGATATCCGGTCCCTAAATATGGCGACATTCATGTATCCCCTCATTCTGTTCGTCCATTCATGTTGCCACTTCGGAGCCAAACTCTCGGTCCACAGTGATTTCTCACATGACTTCTCCATGCACGCCCTCAAAAATTTCCTCCACTCTTCCTGGTGCGTCAAACCGGCGGGATCCCCTTTGGACACGTTCCCCACAGGGCCGATCCRTTTYCTCAAGTCCCAAATTCCTCTGATGTCCTCGCAGGCTTGGTGGAAGGACGRCAACATAGCACGGTCARCTCTCGTGTTGTCGTATATCGAAACATACGCGTACCCGTTCGTATGGTCGTCGTCGAAATATATGATCCGCACACGATCATAATTTCAAAAGCCGAACACCTCCACTGCTGCAGAATTATTCRCCACTGCTCTTTTCATAKCTTCGGAAGTATGTTGACCAGCAACCGGGTAATAGAAATACKTATCTGTCCTATCGGGATCGAAGTCCTGTGGAAGGRCGCKTATCCCTTGGCTGTTCTCGTTCATTGATSGCGTAATCGGAGCCAGCAGCAACCCTGGTGGATCCCACGGAGTCGGATCATCCTCGGACCTTGGACGAGTTGATGCATCGATTGCCTCTTCGATGCCTGCAACGATGGCCGGGYTCAGCGATCGTTGGTTGAAGGCGATATCTCCCACCGGAATTGGAAGAATCTGCACGACGGCAATGACCACCCTCGGCGGGTCTCTTCTCTTTTTGTCGTCGTCGTCGTACTCGAGGAAGAAGCACTGCGTCATATTGACCGCACTGGGTTTCTTCGTCGCCTGCTCGTCGTCGTCAGGTAGGGAGAGCAAGCTAGGGGCCACCCCTTCAGCATCGTCGCTAGAGTCGTCCGATTTYTGGCACCTTGATGGCCGCACGGACTTCCTGGGTTGTGACGTTTTGCGAACCTGAGAACTTGATTTGCATTCCACATCGGCTTCACCAAGCGTCCCTTGAGATGCATCCAAGGCGACCCRAGCTTCGTCCAGATCTTTCCTTCGAGCCTGCTTCTTAGGCGCAGCTGGCGTYGGYGAYGATTGCGCTGTGYGTTTTCCCTTCCCCTTGGAAGTTAGCCCCGCGGAAACACCGGCATCTCCTCCTTCGTCTTCCAATTCCTTGTCTTCCATTTCCGAACCACCGACACTGCCACCGCCCACCCCACCGCTCACTGCAACCTTTTCCCACTCCATATGGTCAACCGCTCCTCGAACGTGTTCTCGCCGCTCGCCAATACCACACTCCCCTTCATCCTCGTCGTGTTCTCCATCGTCCCTTACCCGAGCTTCGGCACCTCCACCACTTTGTCGCCGCTCATTCACATCGCAAGAGCCTTCGCCTTGGATGTACCCTGGCGTCGCTATCAACCGGGAACGCACTTGCCGAACCCGTGCATCATCCTTCGTCTCTTCGTTTGACTCCTCGTCCATTCGACGTTSAGAGGTGTCCCGCGAGCATGAGCTGGCACCAACACGCGAGCTCACCGGAAGATTCGAAGGAGGTCCGGCGACCACCTTCTTCTTCGGAATGTTTCCCGATGACCCACCGACCGAACGCCTCAGGTAAGTAATAATTGTCTCCTTCCCGCCGACAGGTTGTTGTTGTGTCAACACAACCTGCCGGCGMTTGCTAGAGCACGCTGATAAGCCTGCGAGACTTTCGGCAGGAGCGTCGAACGGGACAATAGGTAACATGAGCTGGTGACCAACAGCGACCRTCGGGAATTGAGCACTTTTCCTATACCATTGGTCTTGCTGAAAAATTCAATGGGTAAGAGCATCCTCAACGCATTCCCATCTCGCTTGTTGTCGAAGGCTTTCAAAGCGAATGCCTTCTGACCATACCCCTTGAACAGACCGAGGTCGAGGCTGACTTTGTGGTCATTCTTGACCCAGTCGGTACCCCGCTCATCGTACACCGAAGTGAGGAAGAACTTCCTCAAGTCTCGCTCGTCGAACTTGCCCTTCTCCGCTGTGGCCTTGTCAATTTCAGACCTAATGATGTCACCACAACAGTACCAGGTAGCCCCTTCGTCCTCCGTCAAAAACACAGCAGCACCGCACCCGGCGTCGCCGGCCACACCGACCCAGTCGAGAGCCCACACCTTGTCGCGATACAGTTTCGACCTGTTGTTGTACCTCTTATCCGCATCATTCGGACCCTTACGACCTCTACCTGGAGGAGATATCCATAAGAAAAAAAGAGGAGGTTGGTAATCAGAAGTAGAGCTTTTGTAGAACGCTGGACCCCCACCTTTCACAAGTTAGCATGAGGGGGTCCAGCGTTTGTGAAACGCTGGACTCCCGCCTACCGGSCGTCTCTATTGGCATTTGGCTGGCATGTTCATGCGATTGATCCCAGCCCTCGACCCAACCGACGGGCAGGGGTCCAGCATTTGTCAGACGCTGGACCCCCACCAATGGCGGGGCAGGTGGGCGGGGGTCCAGCGTTTCACAAACGCTGGGCCCACGCCTGCCAGCCGAGCCATTGGCGGGGGTCCAGCATTTCACAAACGGTGGACACCCGCCCATGGGCCGTGCCATTGGTGGGGGTCCAGCGTTCGGGAAACGCTGGACCCCACACAATTGCATGGCCGGTGGGTGGGGGTCCAGCGTTTGACAACCGTTGGACCCCCCGCCTACCCGCCGAGGCATTAGCGGGTGTCCAGCATTGGTCAAACGCTGGACCCCCGCCCACCGGCCGTGCAATTGTTGGGGGTCCAGCGTTTCACGAACGCTGGACCCCTCCAAAAGCACGGCCCGTGGGCGGGGGTCCAGCGTTTGACAAACGTTGGACACCCCGCTTACCAGCCGATTTATTGGCGGGGGTCCAGCGTTTGACAAACGCTGGACCCTTCCAAAAGCACGGCCCGTGGGCGGGGTTCCAACGTTTGTCAAACGCAGGACCCCTCCAGAAGCACGGCCCATGGGCCGGGGTCCAGCGTTTGTCAAACGCTGGACCCCCGCCAATGCCTCGACCGGTAGGTGGGGGGCCAGCGTTTGTCAAACGCTGGACCCCCGCCCACATGCCGTGCTTTTGAAGGGTCCAACGTTTCACAAATGCTGGACCCCCGCCAATGGCACGGCCCGTGGGCGGCACTATTGGTGGGGGTCCAGCGTTTGTCAAACGCTGGACCCCCACCTACCGGTCGTGCTTTTGGAGGAGGTCCATCGTTTCACAAACGTTGTACCACCGCCCACCGGCCATGCTTTTGGAGGGGTCCAGCATTTGCCGTACGGTGGACCCCCACCAATAGCACGGCCGGTGGGCGGCGGTACAGCGTTTGTGAAACGCTGGACCCCCGCCTTCCGGCCACGCCATCAGCGCGGGGGGGGTTCGATCGCCTCCTCCAGTGGAATCTCGCCTCCAACATTGCATAACACGCAGATCGCTTCCTAAGTGGCTTTTCCAAAGGCTTTTCGAAAAATGAAAAACAGCGAAATGTGAGGTGTGGGGATTCAATCCCCTGCTCAAGCGGTATCTCGCCTCCACCGTGGCATTACAAGCAGATCGTCTCATTCGTTGCTTTTTCAAAAGGATTTTCGAAGAAAAAAAAAAACAGCGAAATGTGAGGGGTGGGGATTCCATCCCCTCCTCGAGTGGTATCTCGCCCCCAACGTGGCATTAGCAGCAGATCGCCTCATTCGTGGCTTTTTCAACAAAAAAAAACAGCGAAATGTGAGGGGTGGCGATTCCATCCCCTCCTCAAGTGGTATCTCGCCTCCAACGTGGCATTACAAACAGTTCTTTTTTATATTTTCRAATGRTTTTTCGATTAAAAAAAAACAGCGAAATGTGAGGGATGTGGATTCGATCCCCTCCTCGAGTGGTATCTCGCCTCCAACGTGGCATTACAAGCGCATCCCCTCATTCGTGGCTTTTTCAAAAAAAAAAAAAAACAGCGAAATGTAAGGGGTGGGGATTCGATCCCCTCCTCGAATGGTATCTCGCCTCCAACGTGGCATTACACATTTTCAAATGATTTTTCGATTAAAAAAAAACAGCGAAATGTGAGGGGTGGGGATTCGATCGCCTCCTCGGCTGATATATCACATCCAACGTGGCATTAGAAGCAGATCGCGTGATTCCTGGCTTTTTCAAAAGGATTTGCGATAAAAAAAAAAAAGGAAAATGTGAGGGGTGGCGATTCGATCCCCTCCTCGAGTGGTGTCTCGCCTTCAACGTGGCATAACAAACAGTTCGTTTTCACATATTCATATGATTTTTCGATAAAAAAAAAAACAGCAAAATATGAGGGGTGGGGATTTGATCCCCTCCTCGACTG